ATTTTTGACTTTTCTGAGCTTGTCAAGTCCTTCTTTTGACCCATTTTGCCAAAGGAAAGGAAGTTGGCTAATAATTATGCACACCTGATATAGGGTGTTGATGTCATTAGACCACACCCCTTCTCGTTACAGAGATGCACATCACCTAATATGCTTAATTGGTAGTAGGCTTTAGAGCCTATACAGCTTGGAGTAAGACAACATGCATGAAGAGGATGATGTGGACAAAATACTAATTTGCCTAATAATTCTGCACTCCCTGTAGTGTCTGTAAAAGCACTTGGATGCTAAACACATCTCCATAATGCTTGTGGCAAGGAAAAGAATAATGCTCCCAAAGTCAATTAAGCTATTAGTTGGAACAGTAATGAGTTAATTTCCTTAGTAAGTTATGATATAATGTAACATAAGGGATTAATCCTTAATAGCAGTAACAGCATCAGCTCGTAATGTTATGAGCTGCTTTTCATTTTTTAAACACTGCACAAGACGCTTTCATTGAGCTGCCATCAACTCAACCATCTAAAACATAATAAGGGGCTTCTAACAGCTTTTGTGTAAGAAACCAAAGATGTTGGGACTCAAACTATATGACTTGAGCCAGCCCTCATTTCTTCACATGTTGCTTTCAGGGAGACTGACTAAAAAATAAACAAAACAAAACACTCACAAAATTGTTCTCCAGGCTTTCTGAAGCTCTTTTCAAATTTTTCTTTGGACATGGGTGCTTTCCCCCTTATTTTTAGTCTGATACAAGGATTGGAATGAGAATGAGTGAAAAAAGCAGCCAATGTCATTTTCAGAGGGTTTTTTTTCCACACTTAACACTAATCTATGAACCATTCAAGCATAAAAAGGTACCTAATACGGATGAACCAATGTTGTGTCTCCAGACAACTTAGTAAAGAACCAACTTTAAATTGTACCATCAGGTCTTTTGTTACTAGCAGTGAAGCTGCCTGTCATAAAACCATAAAACCTGTTCCTAATTCTTTAAGATAAGATAAGATAACCTGTATTTGTCCCACATGTGGGAAATTTGTTAGTTTGTTAGTTTAGTTGAGTTAATAAAAAATATAGTTATGGGCTGTTATAATAACAGTTTTAAAGGCATAAAATAATGTTTCTGCACCAACAAAGTGATTCCCAAAGAGCTATTAGCTGAAAACTTGATATATCCTCACAAGGTGTGTAGTGCATCCTTAAGAAATGTGAGGAAACTTGACAAGTTGAGTGCAAGAGACTTGGCAGCCCTAAAAAGCTACCTTAGACCATATGAACAGTGTGTGAAAGTCATGTCCTTAACTAATAGGAAACATTCAAGTAAAGACCTGACACAGGATCTGACAGATGAATCAGACACTTCAGTTGATCCATCAATACTGGCATACGTGAATAGAACAATACATAACTGAAAACTATCAGTCATTGATTGGCCTTCCCAGAGCTCAGACCTGATAAATGGGATGGTACTTAGTTGGAGTAGAAAAGCATTACATAAGTACTCAAAACACTTTTTATTACCTAATTTGTAGCCAACATCAAAAGAAGAGCTTTAAATGTCATTCAAGGAGCCTGAAGAACTAGACTACTTCAAAACTACTTAAAGAAATTAGAAGAAACATTGCCTAAAGGAACTCAAGCTTTGTTAAAGAATAAAGCAACTTGAAATGTTCGTTACAATTGTACAAACTTTTGTTTCCTTATATATTTTGTATTTTCATGTGTGTTTACACGTTTCAATGAATTGCATCACCAGCTTCCAATTCCTATAGGAATTAAGTTGTTTAAGACTCTTACACAATACTATATAATCGTACTGATAATAATTTCCTATAATTTGCAATAATTCTCTACATATTTCCAGAGTATTTTCTAATTGTGCCGTCTAATTTGTCGGTCACCCTTTCTGCTTCCCTTTGTTGTTATAGAGTTATTAATCCTTTGGTGTGTATCTGTTGACATGGAAATGTTGACATCTTTTGAAATGGAGTGTGCTTGTAACTCTAAAACAAATTAGAACAGATTCCCATTTGGACCTGCACATACAGGCTGCATGGGAGGGGAACTGGCATGAAAGTGCCTTAATTGTATTCAACCATTCCACTTGCAGCGGGTGTTCAGCTGGAGAAGCGTCCATGTTTAATGTATTTTTGTTAAAGTGTTATTGGTATAAAGCTGTCGCTAATCTTTTGATTAAAGTAAAAAGAAAAAAATACAACTTCTACGCATGGTTTCATTAATTTTAGATTGTATATATTTATTTTTCAGCATTTAGATAAAATATGAGTTCATCAGAAGGACTGCTCAGGTCGAGCCGTTTGGAGCCAAAGTTAGAAAAACAAGGATGAGATGATTTGGACATGTGTAGAGGAGCGATAGTGGATATACTGGAGAAAGAATGTTGACTATGGAACGGCCAGGTGGGAGAAGATGAGGAAGACTATAGCAAACATTCATGGATGTAGTGAAGCAGGACAAGCTGAGGGTTGGTGTGACAAAAAAGTACTATGGATAGGGAGATTATCTGCTGTGGTAACCCCTAAACGGGGCAGCCAAAATTCAGTTCAATTCAATTCAGTTTTATTTATATAGTGCCAAATCACAACAACAGTCGCCTCAAGGCATAAGAAATCTAAACCTTTACCGTTACTATTTCAACAGGATTTAAAGAGTTAAACTACCCAGATGTTACAGCTCCTGGTCCATTAAACATGCTCATGTAAACAGAACATATAAATATATGTCATATAAACACATAAACAGACATGCATCGACCTGCCAATACATGAGTGAGCAATTGAGTTACTAATCAATTTGAAAACTGGATCATGTAGACTAAGGAGTCTACATGGTGTATCTATGTATATGTATATACATAAGTGATGTGTATATATGTGTATGTGTATGTGTGTGTGTATCCGGGTGTTGTCGCTCACCACATAAGCAGCAGCAGCAGCATTCCTAACAGCAAACGGGAGAAAAATGTGATGACCGTGGCAGCTCCTCCCACTGGAGGTTCAGCCTTCTGTGGTGCGTTGGAGCATGGCATGGGGGAGGTCTTAGTCTCTGTAGAAAATTTATCAGAAGACACAATAAACCTTAGGAACATATTTTAATTAACAATTGAAATCCTTGGTGAGTTTTATCATTTCTCTGTGTGTTTATTTATTAATTTTATTGGGCTAACACAGTGCACAATACTTCTGTCCCTACGTGTGAAAAACATTAAAAAATGACATGCTGATGAATGGATGCTGAAAAGTGCTCATCACACCAGGAAGAACCAAGCAGAAAGGAAAATACAGTGAAGAGCAAAATCAATTGTAATCTGCACAAGCAATCAATATAGAACTTGTCAAGGCAGTTATGAAGTGAGCTGGAATAAAAAAAAATCCCCTCCATGCTAAAGCCGCAGGGAAACGGGGCAAAGAAAGGACGGGGAACAAAGTATATAGATGAAATATGGAGAAACTGGAACGGAAACAGACGGCAAGGTAAAAAAAACCCTGAGGTAAAGCAGGCGGGGAATACAGCATGAGGTGGATAGAAAGCGTGAAAAATAAAGGAAATGTGCAATAAGGTAGTTAATATATTGCTGATAATAGTCAATTGCACAGCTAGAAAATCTATCCATTTATACCTAACTGTAATACAAAGCCGTAGAACAACTGGATTCACAAAAACTCTTTTGACTGCACCAGGGCTTGACTAATACTTTGCATGGCTTCACATTTCAGAATAACAAATCAGTAAAGATTAAAAAAAAAAGAAAAAAAAAAAAAGAGAAAGACAGATAGAAAAAAAGGTCTCAGCAGCTTAGTAGCAGAAGCAAGTGAATTTTAATACAATCGGCACGCAATTTTCTTAAAAGATCTACTGACTTGTACAGTCTGGTGAGTGCAAAAAGTGTATATTCAATTACGGAAACATTAAAAAGTTATGATACTCTTGTATATTTTCAGCTAATCCAATTACGCTCAAGCGTACGAGAGTGAGAGAGGCACTTAACATCTTGTGGCAAACATAAATATGCTGAAAATCACTATGTGCTTAGGCATTTTTTAGTGCTTCGGTTTTTCATTGCTCGACAAATAAAAATATCACAGTTTAATGCTTTAGAAAACGGGACCTCTGCTACAGCTGCAGGCAGCACAGTAGATATTAACTGGTGCACAACGTTTGCACTCATTCTTTTTTTAGTGAAGAGAGAATATGATTTCCCTCTTCTTGCAATTAATGACTGTTGTATAGTACTGTGATGGGAGTTGGGAGATATTAGAGGGAAGCAACCAGGTGTGAAATGGCAAGAGAGAAACGAAGGGGGGGGAAGGTAGGACGCATTTAACATGTTCAGCAGCTCAGTGCAATACTTCCTGCCTGGAGCAAAACATTGTGCTTTGGAGTGACAGAGGAAATAAAAATTATGCAGAAAATAATGTGCCTGTGACAAGGAAATACAGTCATGGGGTGTATGCTGATGTAACAAGCTAGGTGAGGACAGGTAAACATAGCAGATGAGACAGTGATGTGATGAAGAATGGAGGAAGAGGCTAAGAAAAGCAGAAAGACGAGGAGGACAAAAAGCTAATGAGATGAGAAAATTGCTGAACGACTCGAACTCCAAGCACGCTGCATGTTTATGCAAATACTGTTGATGTGTGAGGCGCTAGGATATCCTAATCCAAAATACACACATGAAAGTGGTGTCTGTTATCATCCAGATTAGATTGGGCTTTTTTGTCCCCCTTGCTGCTGTATTTGTGGGTCAATGAAGTCATTTCAGCAGAGTGGCAAACAAGGTGGCATAAATTATGAATCTCAGTTATGAATCCTCAAAACAGTTTGGAATGGCAAAGCAGCTATTATTGTAAAGAACTTATGTCATATGTTTTTTATATTTACATTGGGATCACTTTCGAACAGATTATGCAACACTATCTGTTGACTTTGACACTCTGCTTCACCTTAGCAATTTTTACTATAAGTTTACACAAACTGTAGTGCTTTTCAGAGTGGGTATATAGAAGAAGAGGATCTTAAAGCATTTATGCAGGGTTCAGCCTGGTTGCCTTTTAATAGATACTCCTGTTCTACTATAAGGCATGAAACAGAAGCCACACATTTATAAATAGCCCCAGACATGAAATACACAAACTAATATACAGTGCCAGACAGTGTCCAGTTTCTGTCTCACACGCTGGGTGAGGCACCAACTTATATCTTAGATGCAATGCCTCGGCTAATCCGCTCTTCTTGGAATGTGGTCGCTAAGCAATGGCCCAGTCACAGAGGATGGGATCCTTAAATGTCTCTTGCCTGCCCCCCATGCTATCCTTCTGATTCAAAGCTGCTCTGTGACGATGCTGGGAAACAGAACAGCCACTTAGGTTCAACTGGCAGCTACTTTTGCATGATGTATAGGTGACTCTCTGTTGTTGGGGGGGAGGGGTGGGGTGTTAGAAAGGAGAACACAAAATGTGGTACACGGACAGTGGAGAAGAAAAGGAGAATGTGTAACTGCGTGTTAAGACTCCGAGCAAGACAATCAATAAGTCACAGGAAGTCTGTTGATTTACTATTCGGCTGAGCAGCCAGAAAATATTGGTGAGTGTGGAGATGTTAACAAGTTGGTCAGCTAAAAGTAGCAGGCCTTGGCTACATTTTATTTTGTGTGTGTGTGTTTACGAATCATAGACAGGAATCAGATATCGTCTCTGTTTCCTTATTGCCTCATTGCATGGTTCTACTTCAGTGGTCCCATTCTGCTGTTCTGGACTGCTATTCAACTTTGTTTTTTGTTTTGTTTTTGTTTTGCAGCATGTTTTGCATCATTATCCATTTGCACTGTGAAGCACCAAACAATCAGTTCCACAGTATTTGAGCATTTCTGAATCTGAGCAGTCTCTTGGCCTGGACATTACATCGTATTACTTCTATCAGCAGCCACACTATCAGTAAATACTAGCATTTTCCATTGGCAGCCATTCAGGCACATGGCGTGACATTGCTGTATTTTTCCTTATTCATACATTTTTTTCTTTTCCAAAACTGTGCAGGCTCTTTCAGACATTTTCTGGCCTAATCTGGCTTCTCTGTTCCTGAGTGTAACCAGTGGTTTGCACATTGTTGTAAACCCTCTTTGTTAACATTTATAAATCTTAACCATGGAAAGAATTCTGTGATCATCCACTTGATTTTTGTGTTTTTTCAGGCCTTTTTGGTAATCCTGAGCTCGCCAGTGCATTCATTCTTTTAAGAATGCATACCAAATTTGAATGCAACCTCACAAAGTCATCACTTCATATTAATTATACATTTGATTTATCATGAAATGACAAGGAAACAGACCTAACCTGGCCATTAAACCCCTGTTCAGTGAACAGTCCAATTACTTTTGAATCTCTGAATAGGGAGCACTTTATAGAAAAATGAAGTCTGAACTTCAATCATCTCTTATTTGCTTGCTTTTAAATCCAGTGTTTATGGTGTACAGATGCAAGTTTACAAAAAAGTGTCCAAAAAAAGACTATATAACTCATTATTTATATAATCTGTTACAGTTTTTACAAACAAGCAAACAAAGAACAGTGTACAGATCACAGATCAGCTGGAATGACAGCCAAATCTGAATGTAATTAGTGATCGAGTAAGAGTAACATTTGTAAAGGAAAGTAGAAAAAGGCCAGAAAGAAAAGCTAGAAATTAATATGAGTGAGAATAAGAGAGAAGTGAGAAGGGAAGGAAAAGAAATGGAGAGAAAAAAGAGAGCTAGAGGCAAGATGGAGAAGGATAGGGGAAGAGAAACAGGACAAGGGGAGAGGGAAGGGAAGCAGAGAAGCGGCAGCTGGATCGAGAAGGAGCATGAGGAGAATCCCAATAACCTCCTGTTCTCCGTCTCCACGAGACCAAGAATAATACACTGTGTACTGACTGAGTGTTTATATGTGTGTGCGTCTGTGTATACACTACAGGTTATCAAACTGAAGGACTCTCTGTGTGTGTGGGTGTGTTTGTGCTGATGTGTTTGTGGCTCACAGAGTATTGGAGGAGGCTGCATGTTGTGAGTGTGTCTTTCAGCATTAGTGTTTGTGTGTTGCCAGGTATGTGTGAGCTCATTTAGTGCTGAATGTGACGATGATTGTGCAGTGCTACTCTTTGCCAAGAGGAGTCAGTATTCTACCGTAAAACCATTACGTTTTAACAGACTCTCAGAAAGACAAAGAGAAGCACAGACAGACAGACTTTGCCCCTTAGAGAAATTAGTGTCAAATTATTGGCTTCAGAAGTGAGTGAAAGAAAATAATGGTAAACCCACATTAAAAATGTTTTAAACAGACAAATACAAATGCATAAATACACATAAACCCAACAATGCAACAACATCCACCAAACCATTATAGCACTATGGTTTGGAAGACTCGGGGGAACAAAATGAAAGTTTCTGTAGTGTATTGGTGTGAGTGCTCTGTAATAAATTACAGCAAACTAAATTAATATATCATAAATTCAGAGCTTTCCTCATGTGGAGCATTAAGTGAATAGTTTGACATTTTAGGAAATATGCTTATTTGCCTTCTGCCTCAGAGTTAGCTGAGATGATCAATACTACTATCATTGCCTGTTCAATCTAATAATACAGCTTGCTAATGATCACACATCTCATTTGCTTACACTGGATGTAAAGATGACGAGGAGCAGCATTATGTGAGGGTTATCTCAAGGACAGTCTTTTTTTGTCAAATAGCAGTTTAACCCAGGGAAGCGATCAATTTACCACTCTTGATGAAAAAGAGGTGTTGTAGAAGAACCATATGGTCATATGGTCAAAAACTCTTGACTTTTAAGTGACTCTTTAAATCATGGAAGCATGTAGGTAGCATGTAGGCTGTTGTCTGTTTTTGGAAATCTGTTATAACGAAGAAGGTTGTATCTGAGTTAGCAACTAAGAACCCATCATGCTCACAGAGTGGCAAGAAGTCAGAGTCAAACCTGGCTTGCCTTGAAGCACTCCCTACTTTATCATCTTTATACCTTTTAATGGGACCATAAATTAGAAAATGAATATCATGCAGTATTAAATAAGAATTGAAACTAGTGATTAAGACCATAAACTCACCAGGAAAATGTTACTGCGATCAAGTGAGCAATAGGGTTATTCGATCATAAATCGTAAAGCCAGACATCTTACTGGCAAGCAGATACCCCCTGCTGGTCATTCAAAGAATGCAAGTTTGAGGCGCTTTGAGGAAGCTGTGTCCATTTTTCTACATATTTTGTAAGAACTAAGTCGCTTTCTACTGAGTTATATAGTTGTAATGCTAATACTACTACTACTACTGCTACTACTACTACTAATAATAATAGTAGTAGTAGTATCATACTATACTACTTATATTATACTACATACAATTGTGGAAATAGCAACCTTACATTTTTTTGCTACAATCTGTGAGTTGTTTTTTTAATTAATATCTTATCAGCTTTGTAATAAACTTTCTAGGGCTAGTAATATATTTTCATATTATTGAATAATCTAACACATTTTGCAGACCTGCATCAATGTCTGTGCTTGCCTGTCTGATACAGTACGCACAGTTTAAAGTTGATCTTGGTGGTTAGTTTCAAGATGTAACATTTCGATAATAGAAGCTTCCTCAGCCCGAGTGCTTTCACGTTATGTTCTTTTAAGTTGCATAATTTAATACTGCAGATGTACACATTGCCAGTAGACCTACTAAGGATATATTTCTGCCCTAGCCACTTCAGCTTAGAGGGTCCACAGACAATGTAATATTCCAGTTTTATACAGTTTTTGCTCTGCATGACATTTAAAAATGATCTGTTTTTGCTAACTTCAAAAGATTAAAAGTACTGTTGCTGTAACATAGATGTATACTAATAGTGTGTCCTTTGACATTAATATAGGGTATTGATAAATTTGCCCACTTGCAATTTAAGCTGCTTTAGTGTGCCCACAGGTGCTGCACAAATATAAGCTACTTTGCAACCCACCTTCACACCAGCCCCACATTTCATGCCACATTTCATATCAGCTGTCATGTTCTGCTCTAATTTTTTGTTCTGCTAATTTTTGCTTCATGCTTTTTGTGTTCTGTGGTAGGGCAGTGAGGTCATAAGGAGAGTGTCACTGAACCATACCACCAAACATAAATTAATGTCCTATAGGGGTCCTGACTGAACACTCATCTGGTGAGTAAATACTCCCTACATCTGCAAGACTAAAATGGAAATCGTCCAAATCCTTGTCTGCTTCTTTTTTTCATTCAACCATTTCTTCTTTCCTCCATCAGTGTGATGTGAAGATGGTGCACAGACAAGTATTTGGGCCTTGAATAGGTGTCTTGCTGAAGGTCTTCAGAACGTTTTGAAGATATTAATTTCACAAGTGAGTCGTCCTTTGTCTTTGCTATATGCTCATTAGAGCCAACTAAAAAATTCCCAGAGACTGTTTTTGTCACAGTCACTGAGTATAGTGTCCAGTCAACACATACACATGCACACACACACAAAATCCAATATCCATAATGAATTTTTTAATATATATGATCTGCCAGAAGTTGACATTTTTTTGACAACATAAGAGTAGTTTTTTTGTTTTGGTTTTTTTTTTTAAAGGAAGGGCTCAGGTACTTAGGTTGATGTGTGTCGATTTGTCTCGAGGCAGATGGGTCTTATAGCTTAGACTGTAATAAAAATTCAGAGCTATCAAATGCTTATAGTGTACTCTGTTTAATCATTAAGAAAGTTATTAACTAAAATTAATTTCATACCTAAATGCTTCAGAAAATTTACTGTGAAAGCCACAGGCAAGAGGAACAATGTCGAGAATGTTATTGGAATACTATATTATGCTATCACAATGATTCCTCCAGCCAACAGACTACAATCTCATTTAACTTTTAGTGTTAACCTTTGTTCACTACTAACTTCACAACTACACATGAGCCATCTTAACATGTTAACATACTACTGAGCCCACTATGTTTTACATGCTATTATTTTTATTTTATCCCTCTATCCTTTCAGTCATGCCAGTGCTGTAGCTCATTAGAGTAAGCTGCTGAATGTGGGAAATATTAAACCTGCCAAGCAACGTTGTCATTAACAACCTGACATCAGCGCATTAGCTCAAAGGACTGTCACACTGAGCTGCCAGCACATTTGTAGACTTCTCTTTGGGTTTCCTTATGTTTCATTGTCCTCTGTTATTGATCTTTTCATGGAACAATGACTCATGTATTTTGAAAACGTCTGTTAAAGTACATTTACACACTGAACAGCCTCCAACCAAGAAAGATCTGCATGATAAAAACGAGTCTCCCTATGACTGAAATTGGGGCTATAACTTACCAGTTGTTGTGTTCTGTAATGTTATATACAATATTGCACCACTAGAGGGTGGTGTCATGAAAAACTGCCATTGAAAATATAGAGTTAGGAAATAGAGTAAGATGGCGAACTGTTAGCATGATGTGTCACCCTGCTACCCCTACGATTTAAGGTTATGTGCTGCATTCATCCTCCTTGACAAGGATTTATTTATCACCAGCCATCGTTATACCAGTATGAAATTCCACTTCAGTTGTGGAAACAACTGGCACGGGTTCTTCAATCCAGGGTGTAGCATGGACAGCAACACTCCAGTCACTCCATGTTCCAATCTCTGTGTCCTTGGCAGCCACCTGATGAACACAGGGATATCAGAAGTATTCGATTCAGTTTTATTTATTTAGCATCAACTCACAACAACAGTTGCCTCAAGGCACTTTATATTGTAAAGTAAAGACCCTACAATAACCCTCCTTCTTTTGGCTGCTCCACAACAGATGACCTGCCTCCATCTAAACCTATTCCTATCCCCCACTGTCACACTGACCCTCTACATATCATCTTCACTACATTAATCTTCTCTCAAGTCTCCCTCTTTTCCTCCTGTCTGACAGCTTAACATTCATCATTAATAGTAAAAGTGTAAAATTAATGCAATTTCAGTAGAATGTACATAATACTGAACCCAATATTTACATAAAGTATTGAGCTGATCTTGAAATAACCTTTTTTAACCTTCTTTTTTCTTTGCTAGTTAGTATGAAATCTTTACCTGGATGATGTACTCCTTCCCAGCGTAGGCATCAGTGATGTTATGGGATGTAGTGTCAGATAGCTCCACCTAAACATCAAACGGAAAAGAGCATGGAGTCAGTCTGGATCGGAAAACAGCACATGTGGTTTCCCTGGGTTACAGTAGGGTGTGTCTGTTTTATTTTTGCAGTATATTAAAGTTGTTATCAAATATCTTTATTGATAAATATGGTCTCTATGGCCCTGGGGATATGAAAGGTTCCAAGATTATGAATTATGAAAATTCTCGGCTAAAAAAGACACGTTCGAGGTCCCAATTTAACTTTTGGTCTGGATCAACTGCCATTCTACCCACAGCTCTACCCATAAATTATAATCTCTGTATAGCAATCCAAGCTTGTTTTATGGAAGCCTCAGCTGTGCCTTACTGAATACAGTGTTTCTGCAGTGATCATTTATTGATAACACATCATTCATCATTATTCTATGAATAGGTCAAGTGTATTGTTTTATCCCTGTGTTGCTTTACATTATTGAATTGATTGGACCTTGATGGCCTTGCAGCCACAACGCTCCATGCATACCAACTGTCAGACACACATGTAAAATACCAGCTGCATAATTGATGATTATACCAGAAAACATTGGCATCAATGCTACATAATTTTATGACACAATATTATGCATGCCAACATTTGAAAGCCTTTTTGCGCACACTTTAATTTGCAGAGCGAAACAGAGAATTAACTAAATGTTTGAGTTACAGAGGAGTGTATGAGAGAATGATTTGCTGCTCCTCTGTAATTTACGGTTAGTGCTGTGTGTGTGTGTGTGTGTGTGTGTGTGTGTGTGTGTGTGTGTGTGTGTGTGTGTGTGTGTGTGTGAGAAAAGGACTGAAGGAAAACTAGGTGGAGGGTGCTGCCTCTTTTTGTTTCTCCTGAAGTCATAATAAATGATTTATTGGCGTGCCTGTTGCCTTGTGCAAGAGACATATAACCACTTGTGCACCTGCAGATGGACACACACACACACTCATACACAAGTTTAGGATAATGGGATACTGGATAGGTTACTTGAAATTTCTAATTTAACAAGTAGATACAATTTCATCTAAAGAACAATATAATGAATGTACATACTGAAAAATAATGAACAGGAATATACATATGATAAAAAGAAAGTGCATTCAATTTGAATCTTAAGGTTTTATCTTTTGGGACATAGAAGCAGAAGAGTTGGCTGTTTGCTGGTCTGAAACATTCCAGTGTTTTTTGACACAATGCCAAGAAGGAAAGACATCAGCACTGATTTTGGAAAAGCAATGATAGCTGCCAATCAATCTTGGAAGGATCGCTGACCAAAAAAGCCCAACATTCTGCAGTGTGAAAGATTATCCAAAAGTTCACAACATTCAAGACCGTTGCCAATTTTCCCTGGAGTGGATGTCCCACCAAATTCACCCAAAGATCACACTGTGCAATCCTCAGAAAAAAATGTCAAAAACCCCCCGCTCTAGATCTCAGTCTCTGTAAGCCAAATGTACATGTGACACGTTAAAGTTTACGATAGTACAAATAGGAAAAGACTGACATGTTTGGAAAGTTGCCAGAAAAAAACTCTTCTCTCCAAAAAGAACAAGACAGCACAGCTTAACATTGCAAAACTGCATCTGAATAAACCACAAGAGTTCTGGAACAATGGTCATAATGCACAGAACACCATACATAGCATGTCAACACAAACATCTCATACCAACTGTCAAGCACAGTGGTGGAAGACTGATGATTAATGCTTGTTTTGCAGGCTAAAGACCTGGGCACATTGTAGCCATTTGTTGCCCATAAACTCCTCTGTATACCAAAGTACTGTAGAGTGAGACCATCTGTCTCACAGCTAAAGCTTGATGATCCCAAGGACAAATCTACAACAGAATGATTGAAAAAGAAAATAATCAAGGCGTTGCAAGTGCCCAGTCAAAGCTCAGATCTTAAAGTAATTGAAATGTGGTGGAACCTTAAGAGAGCTGTGCGCAAACGAATGCCTGCAAAGCTCAGTGAACAGAAATAACTGGAGCATGGACTGAAATACCTCCACAATGATGTGAGAGACTGAAAAAGTCATATGGACAATGAATATTTCAAGTCACTTCAAGTTATTGCTGCTAAAAGTGATTTCAGAAGCTACTGAAGCATGGGGGCACTTAGTTTTTCTACACATTGTTCTCCATCTTTGACTTAAAAAATAATCACACTGTGTAATATGTCCCATATTATTGTTCATCTCAGGTTGCATTTACATTATTTTAAGGCTTGCTAAGGACAATGATTGTACATTTCATGTAACCTGTGCTGGCTAGTTAATAAAGCTTGTCAGAAAAGAGATTTTACAGACCCTGACAGGCAGCTGACCTGCTGGAGAACACAAATATAGTCCAGTACTTGATAAATGATTGGTGATGCAATCATGTAATCTTGATAATTCCAACTCTGCAACACAAACTACAACACGTGCTACTGATGCCCACCTAGCTATTTTCTAAATTCTATTTATGGTAATGTTTATCTAGGTGAGAATTCCAGTAATGTCAGAAAAGACTGCAATTACACAGACATTTACATGAATGTCATCAACACCTGCAGCAGCAAGGAAAAAAAATATTCAAATGTTGTTTTTTTCCTTTCTTTTCACCATAAACTCACAGCTCACTGTTAATTACACTCAAGTAATTTAGGTTCTTTATTAGCATCTCTGGCTATTGTTTCTAGGTTTTGACACCATGTTAATTACTGATGTTTGGGAATGCAGCAATTTCACTAAAGTGAAAAGTGAAAGTATTGAGCAAACGACAAAAAAAGTCAGCAGTCAGATGAACGGAGAGGATATCAACAAGGCAACAGCGTAGCCAAGTTTTCTAAACTGCTTCTTTTATGAAGAAGAAAGAAAAACAGAACAAAAACAAAACTGAAAACACCTGTGAACGCACTAAGGCACAGCATAACCAGCAATGGATGGATGTTTACAAACTATGTGATTTTTCTCTTTGGCTTTGATTCGCTAACAAATAATCTAAAACAGATGAGGATGAGAGTCAAAATAAAGTAGGGGAGTAAATAATAATAGTGATAATAATAAAAATTCGAAATATCACTAGCAGCTGCTCCGAAGAGTCTTGTGATTTGATCAAAACTCCCTCACAGCCACCATATAATTTTCACCCACTAACAGTCATAGCCAGGCCTCAGCCTGGAGTTTCCCCTTTACTTCTCCACTCCTCCAGGATATGAAAACCTGTAGTCAATCTGACAAATAACCCACTGAAACAACCCCAGCATCACCGCTTTCTCTTTATTCCTGTAAGCCGTCTCTCATCGCTCACGCTCTATGTAAAGTTGACCCCTCTGTTTTCCACATTGCCTTGAACTGAGGCAATGTATTTTTCAGCTCTCGCACCCTCGCTCTCTGTTTGGAAGGAAGCTTAGTCTTTATCTGCCTAACCAAGCGCTACATTTATAGGCTTAATTTCATTAGTGGAATGCAATAACAACATCATTTGAGCATGTGCGTGTGGTTAGACTGCAGTGTATATTGTGTGTGCATATGGATCGGTTAAAAGACGTCTGCGCTGGCTTTGAGGCTAAAACTTCCATTGTTTAGATGTTGTCCAACCAGCATATCCAGCCATTGCTTCTATCAGCATTCCTTAGTGACTGCAATCTGTATGTGTATGTTTGAATAGTGATGTCTATGTTAATCTGCTCACATCTGTTTGACTATGTGTGTATGTGTTGTTGGGCTTTTATTTTTTTATCCCTATCTCTCTATATTTTTCCTGTGTGTGTGTCGGTGCTTACATTCGATATTGGAAAACACACATACACCAGTTTAGGCAAATATGCCTTTGTACAATTGTGTTTGCGTTTCTTTGTATTCGTGTATTTATTGTCATGTCTGCACACGTCTGTTGCATTATTGTTTGTGTTTGCGAGGCTGAACCGGAACCGACGGATGCGTACATCAGCATGTGTATGAACTACATATACCGTATGTCTATGTGAGGAGGAGTAAATGGAGTAAACAGCTTGCAAATAAACATTTCCAGAGAGATGGATGTGTTGCTGTGTTGCCAAGTGGCTAACAGGGAGCACTGAAAGCAGCACTTAATATCGCGTAGTAAAAGAAGGTGGCGAGGAGGGGCTGAGGATAGATGCAAGGCGATTCACTTTGGAAAGGGCTTTTGCTATTGCTGCCAAAAAACACTATCAGATCATTCACACTGCAAGACCAAATCTGTGTGATGTGCCATGTGGTGGTGAAGGTTCAGTGATCAGCCAAACTGATTAAAATCACTTGTCTGGACCTATGTAGGTCTCTGTGATCCTACAGACTTACTTAAAAAAACTGAGCATAATCCATACTAAAAGTGTGCGCAAGCAGAAAAGACTAACAGTTATTTGAACAAAAAAAGTCAATTTTTTCATACACACTTGCACACAGTGTTCCTTTTATGGCAGTCCACCTGGAAATATGCATATCTGGATCGGCTCTTTAAATGGCCACATTTAACCATAAATGGTCAATGCAAAGTACCTCGTGAATCTTTATGCATAGAAATTAGTCTCTTTATTGTGCTCTTTGAACCGTCCTTGACCACTGTTTGCTGTGCAGTGGGGCGCATTGGAGGGTATGTTAAGTCTGTTATGTGTTGGTGCATGTCCCATAACATCCACATGCCAGCAGCCAAGGTTTCCGAGCACAATACTGCCTTGTAAGGAGATAAACATTGCGATTCACCTCACCTGTCAGTGGTTTTAATGTTGTTAGTGTAAATTTACGTATGTATGTGTGTGTTTGGGTGCATGTGTTTGCGCGTGTGTGGGGATATGTGTTTCACATGTGTCTTCAGGGCTGATCTATTGTAAATAGAGCTGTTCAAAGCTGTTCATCAGACTTGTTTACCGCTCATTAAAATTGTTTAGTGTTCATTTAAATTGTATGTGAAAGTGTGCCCACACATTTGTATGTGCAGTTCTACACACTGACAGACAGGCAAGCAGGTACACACACACACACACACACACACGCACACAC